CTTCCCTCCCCCTGAATTGTGAGCCGCCCTGAGTCCCCTCAGGGAAAAGGGCGGCATACAAATAAAGCTAAAATCAAATCAAATCAAGTCTCCCTCCACCAAGTTCAAGGACAGAACATTGTATTGTAGAAAAAAAAATCATTTTATTGGCTGCAACACATCATATGCCAAACAAGATCAATGAGGTTCTTGAATGTAACTGAGGAAATGAAGCATTATTTTTCCATTGCAAAAAGAATGGAGCTTTGAAAGAACAAAGAGGCAATATTTCATTAGCATAGTTTCTTTCTAAAAAGTTACTACCTTTTGTTTTCCTAAAGTTCTGTCTTCCAGCTTATCATTATTCCTTGGCTGCCTGTTTTTATGTTTGAGCTGATAGTTTTCGATTCCCAAGGAATGTGTTTTTCTAATGGGGATAGTTGCTTAATTTAAATCCATATAACTGAGCCATAAACCTAAGCTTTATTTTCTTTGTGAAGATATATTGGAATAAGGCCTTTTAACTCAATCTCTCACATTCTCTTTTAGCTCTAGATTGATATAAACTTCTTTCTGTATGAGGAAGAATATATCTTTAAGAAGTAGTTTGGAATAGTGAAGAGAATTTGATGAAAAGTTCCTGAAGTACAATTTGCAACTTTAGATCTGTCTGCTTGTAGATCAAAGTCAAGAATGTGGTGTTTGACCTTAGCAATAGCTTTCCCCAGATTTGTGATTGTTAGTACTTGAACTGAAAGAGAAAAATCAATTGCTATGTTTTTTTTAAAAAATATAAGAAATTACATTTATCTACAAGAACAAATAAATTTCTTCCTTAGTTTAGTTTCATACCATTTTAGGTGGCAAGTTGTTATTGTGTGCCTGGAGCTCCTAATCCAAATCTCAGTGGTGTGTTAGAAATAAATCAAACCATGTACAAGATGATTTTGATAAAATTAGGGTACACTTATATACTTCACAGCAGAATTTTGCTTTGAACATTTTAACTGCAGAAGGAATCAGAATGTTACCTGACTTGCATATCAAATTATCTTATTTGTGGCCCTCTATGCATGAAAGGAATTTGTGGGTGATTGATTTCCAGTGGAGGGTGTATTTAAAGCACTTGATTAATTGTTTTTCTTGGTGACAAAATTTAGCTAATACTTGAAGGCTTCTCTGGACCTGGGACAAAGAAATAATAGTGATGCCATAATTGTATAATTGAATTAGGATGGATAGATGTTAATGCTGAAGAATAAAATTTGTTATGGTTTGAAAATTGCAAATGCAGTGAAAATATTTCTTGAAATACATACTCTAAGCTGGCTCACAGATTTTATTCTGATTCTTAGTTTTGACAGTTGCTATTAGGATAGAAAATAATGTGAAGGCAACAAAGTTGGGGTACCCCTCACTTCCTGTTTCACTCATATATTTCGAGAGAGTTTTATTATACCCTCAAATTTTATTTTATAAAAAGTTTTTTTATTTTTCCCTTTCAAATTCATTCACAAATATACATTCTTATAATTGCTATTAACAATTATCTATTCATCATTAATCTTTATCGTTATTTTCTTACAAATATATAGAATACAGTTTGGGTCACTTTCTTGCCACCCCTTGCTTTCATCTTATTTTGCAACAACCTTGCTCCTTCCATCTTCTCAACCTTTCTTCTCTGCCTTCTTCTTTCCTCCTCTCCTTCCTCCTTCTTCCCTGCTCTTTCCCCCCCTCTCTTCTCCTCTTTTCCTTGCCAAATATATTTTCCTATTATTTTATTTTATTTTTCAAACTACTACTTTTCCAGTTTTATTAGTATTGTCTGAAACAAAAATAATATTCTTGGTAATATATTCATCTTAATTACCGCTATTCTTCCCATTAATGATAACTATTTGTTTTTCCATTTCTCTATATCGGTTTCAATTTGATTTCTTAATTTATAGTAATCATCTTCCTTGATACTTACACACCTTGAAGTCAGTTGTATCCCCAAATATTTCACTTTCTTTAGTATTTGAATATCTAATTTCTCCATTATTTCTCTTTTCTGTTATATTTTTCACTAAAATTTTTGTTTTATCTTTATTAATTTTCAATCCTGCTACTCCTCCATACTCTTCTATTTGCTCAAGTAGTTTTGGACCTGTTTCTTTTGGATCTTCCATAATACCGTATTTTTTGGAGTATAAGATGCACCGGAGTATAAGACACACCAAGGTTTTGAAGAGGCAAATTTTTAAAAATTACATTATATTGTTTGACACTGATACTGATCTATCTTGATAGAAGGGAATAATTCTCCAATCAACCATTCAAAAAACAAAGTCCCAGAAGACATCTAAGAATTCAAGTTTGGATTCAAGCAGCTCAGAAGATGAAACTCCAAAGCACCAACCACCAAAGTCAAAAGGAGCCCAAAAAGTCATAAAACTGACTTCTACATCAGGTAACTTCAAGCTAAAATTTGTGAGTAATTCAAGTGATGTATGAAAGGAGTAAAGGAGACATGAATGTATTTTTCGGTTCCCATTTTGTAGATTTTATAAAAGAAAATTTAGTCATGTTCTGGTATTGAAACGTGTTGAAGAAATCTTAAGAGTGAGGGAAAAATAGGATAATATAAGCTGCTTGTGACTCAGGTTTGCTCCACATCTAGAGAAACAGCAATGCCCTCAGGTTGAAATGGAATAATTAAAAGATAAATTTGAAAGGGATCATTTAGTTTTGTTTCATTTGTAAGTTCAGTTCCTGCTCAATGTATGAATCCATGTAATATACAAGAGCAAAGTTATTACTGTTGCTTATTCCTTGTGCTTAATAAGTTGAATTAGTGTTTTACAGTGCTAATGATTCATATTTTAAGTATAGAAAATTGACTAATTTCCTTTGAACTTTGGTTGGTTTCACATGTTGCCAAGTAAGCTTGGATGCGGTTTTTGAAAATATTTTTGTAAATATATATTACAAAGATATACTTGTAAAAGAGAGGGAGGACTGTTAAAGCTATATACAGTATTTAAAGCTACATATCTGGTTATCTGATGTTTCAATTTAATGGAAACATTTTAATCGCAATTGGCAGCAAAACCTACCAAGGTGATGTCTAAAACTATCAATGGCAAGGCAGAGAGTAGTAGCAGCAGCAGCAGTGATGACACGAGTAGTAGTGAGGATTCCAGCTCTGAAGAGAATCAGCCTGTCAAAGTAAGTTATGAATTTTTTGTATCATAGCTAAATAGTAATTATTTATTCTTGATGAAGATAGAAAACTAAATATCCTTCTCTTCAGAAAAATTGTAAAGTATGTAAACTGCCAAGAGTTATTTGAAATTGCAGTGTCAATGAATTTGTTAATATATAAATAAAACCTCCCTAATTTTCACATTTATAGAAAACCTAGTAGTGAGAGGACTACTGCATACATTTGTATTGTATATATGTGTGTTCCTACTGTATACATGTATGTTCCTGCATGCATGTATAAAATGTATATTTTGAAGACTCTTCTGCTGAAACTGGCTTACAGAATAACTTTTTAATGGAAAATAAGACCTTCTAGAAGGCAAGTAAATGCTAAGTCATGGTAAAAGTATTGAAAAGCATCATTGTGGGTACGTTTTCTAGATGAGTGCTTCATCTGGTTTATTTCATGAGTCGTTCTCATGCATATCAACTATGGCAAGCATCATTTGTTTGTTAATAACTTTTGACTATCATTGTCTGCCATTGCCATGAGAATCTGCAAGGTATAATAGGATGTGTTGCTCTAAAAATATGTTTGAATAGAAGTTTAACCTGAGAAATCTATTGATGAAAATAGATGGTCAAGTTGATGCCCACAATTTTGCACACAAAATGTTGTGTTACATTTGTTTAATAGGACATGTTTAATGCCTGAAAGCCTGGGTTGCTCTGTTACTACAATAAACCATTTATTTTCTCCTCCTTTTCTCTTCCTGAAAACAATCCAGAATGCTGTCAAATTCAGCATGAAAGAGTGCAATTCAGTGCTCCTTTTTTGGATTGCAAGGTGAATTCTTGACACTTCCGTTAAGCTTATTATAGTGCTGTACTTCAATATACATTTTGGTGTCAGGAGCATCAGTCACCATTTGGGCTGTAAGCCATCTATTAGTGGATGACTAGTAACGAAAAGTTATGGGCATATCATTTTTATGAGTTTGGTGTTTGCAAGGAATTACTCTTCTAGATTCTCTTATGTTTTCAGAATAAATTGCTCTAGCAATTTAAAAGACACTTTAGTGATCGAGGCTAAAACTCAGCTTCCATATGTATAAGCTTCTATTGTCAAAATGGTTTTCTATGCCTACTGCATGAGAAGAAGCAGAGTCAATATCCAAAAAGACACACAATAAACAAGTTTTTGCAGCAAAATAAGATTCAATATTGTACATTGAGCAATCACAGATTTTAGATAGAAGGTCTTCAACATAGAGGATCATCGTTATGAAGGTTTTTTTTAAACCTTTCAATAGTATTGCAATGAAGGCGGTACGTAAGTTTGACTTATCAAGATAATTACTAACATTCATTTTGTCTTACCTTTATTTTTGGATCATTACAGAAGTTATTTCTGACATGGTACTTTTGAAGCAAATCATATTTGTCTACAGCTAGATGATCCACCACTTTAACCCTACCCATAACTCACTTTAAGTTACCCTCACTTTCAACCCCTCTAAAGTTGTAAGAATAATATAAATACCAAGCATCTACCGTATTTTCACCCATATAACCCGCGGGTTATA